CCTCCGCCTCCGCCTCCGCCTCCGCCTCCGCCTCCGCCTCCGCCTCCCCAGTGCTGGGATTACAGACATGTGCCACTACTGCATGGCAAAAGTTTTTGTTTTTCAAGACAGGGTTTCTCTGTGTAGCTTTGGCTGTCCTGGACTCTGTGAAGCAGTCTGGCCTCAAACTCACAGATATCCCCCTGCCTCTGCCTCCCTGAGTGCTAGGATTACAGGTGTGCAACTGTAATTCTTTTCCCGCTGGCAAAAGAATTTTTAAGGCTGTAAAGGATTCAGGCCTCACTAAATAAAAAACAGTATTTAAGTGGTGAATGACAGTATGGACAGGAGTACCATGTTTGCATTTGTGGTGAGACAGTGGGATGTTTTCTTACTATTCACAAAAGCCTTGTCCCTGATAGTGATGACTTACAGAAAATGCTCAAGGAATCATTTGTTTGTGGGACTAGGGCCTAATTTCTTAAACTATGAGTCTTGATTCCATGTATGTGGAGATCATAAAACATTTGGCAATGATAAAAAGTTTCTTTAAAAAAAAAAAAGGTATAACGGGGGTCGTGATGGTATACACCTTTAATCCTAGCACTCAGGGAAACAGAGGCAGGCGGATCTCTGAGTTGGAGGCCAGCCTGGTCTACAGAGCCAGTCCAGGACAGCCAGGGCTACACAGAGAAACCCTGTCTCAAAAACCCAAATAATAATAACAGCAACATTTATTTTGTGTTGGGATGGGAGTGTGTGTGTATGAATGCTGTGCAGTGGTTTATGTGTGAAAGTCAAAGGGCACCCTTCAGGGATGGGCCCTACCATGGTGGCATCAGGAGATGCAATCCAGGTGTAGCAAGCACTTTCCCTCTGAGCCATCTCACTGGCCCAGTGAAAGCATTCTGAACACCCCTGACAGTGACTCAGAGTCAGAGTGCAATGAATCAGGGCATTTCTGCAGCACCACTGAGCTTGCTGAACCTTGGTTCTAAACACAGGGCACACAAACTGCATGCCTACAAGGCACATACTGCCCAAGTCAGCTCACATGTGAGCTGTAACTTAAAGGATTTTTTTTTTAATGCATATATGAAGTTTTTGCTCTTGTAGAGATATGGTGACTTAATTATGGAAAACAAAGATTTTTCATATTTTCCTACCTAGACCTCAGCAAGCATAGAAGTACCAAATTAGTGGATTATGTTAAGTAGATTTTGTTTTTAAAATTGCCGTGAGAGTTATTTGATAAATTATTAACTGAATTTTGGCTTGGCATTAGCATAGGATTTTCAACGATTTCTGAAATGGCCTTGTACTCAACTTGGCCATCATGTACCATATAGTTATGAGTGCAGTGTTCTCAGCCTTGATGACTCTGGACACCATTCTGTGGTAGCAAATACTCCAAGGGCCTGGGGATCAGCTCCTTATCTCGAAGGCTTGAACTTGGGTTCTGTCCTGAGAGCCCATGTGAAAATGCTGAGTATAATGGAATGCTTGTTATCCCAGTGCCGAGGATTCAAATACCCAGTTATAGTCAGGAGGATCCGGGCACTTACTGGCCAGCCAGACTAGCCTAACTGGGGAGCTCCAGGCCAATGAGAGATGCCTGTTTCAAAGGCAAGGGATGCTCCTGTGGGTGACTCTGGGCTTATCTTCAGCCCTGCTCAAGTGCAAGTGCACTT